TTTTTGGTTGTTATTGTTTGTTTCTTTAAATTTTTTTTGTAAATTGTGAATTGGGTGAAGGTTTACAGAGCAGACTATTAGCGTTCCATTCAACGATTCACACACATTGTGTTTCACCTCATTAATTGCAATCTCCTCAATGTGACATCACATCCCATTTTCTCTCAGTGTACCTAGCTCCAATCGGTTTCCTGACCCTTCTGAACTTCCTCTTGGGGTAAATGCTGTCCTTTTGATCTCAAATGTTGATTATTCTAGAACATACCTCACTAGTGGCTAGTGTTATTGTTACCCTGTCTATTGTTTGGCTGAAAATTGAGTCACAGGGGTGAGTTCAATCCCAGACCTTAAACGTGACTAAGGGTCAGAGTCTCCGGGGTTACCCCAGTCTCTATCCCACCAGTAAGACTGGTCCTTTTTAAGATTTGAGTTTTGTTTCACATTTCCCTCCCACTCTCACAGCAATTGGTAGAGGCAACCAGGCACCATCGAGTTCGGGTCTCAGGGTCGTGGACGCTGATGTTTATAGTCCACTGGGCTCATTGCTTCCAGCGTGTTCCATTCCATTAGTCTTTCCTCCGGATCGAGAGGGACCAATAGTTGCACCTTAGATGGCCAATCACGAGCTTTAAGTCCTTAGTGGCTATTCACTAAGGATGTTCACAGGGTTTTCAAAAAGCCTGTTACTTCCCAGAAGCACATCTCCAGACTTTTCTTTAAACCATCTCTGGGGGGCTTTGAATCACCAACCTTTCAGCTAGTAGTAGAGTGTTTACCGCTTGACACCACCCAGGGTCTCCTGATTCTGACATTAGGTTTTGTAACGGGCTTGGGGAACTGCATTCCGTATATCTTGCCTTCCAGTAAACGTCTAACGCCAGGCGGGAAGAGGTATGGATGGACACCTCAGATTCCAGCAGCCGAGTCTGGAGCCGAACGGGGGGTTGCTTCCGAGTGCAGCCAGCCCCTCTACCTCCGTCTCTTTTGGTCAAAGGCAGCGCGGCCCACGCGGTGCCAGCGCGGCTCGAACCCGCAGACGCAGACCTGTTCCTAGGCGCGTCGGCGTGGCAGAGGCGGAGCCCACCGCGAAGGGTACCCAGCCCTCTTGCGTCAGCCAATGGACGGCCAGGGCATCCCAGGGGCGGAGCGGAAGCCGCTTCTTAAGGGCTCGTGACGTGGCCACGCAGCTGTTGCGTGGACTCCCGGTGTCGGTATTGCTTCTTGCACACTTTCAGGTATCCGCGCTCTGGGGGCTCGGGCCGGCGCGTGCGGCCTGCAGCGGGGTGGCCTCCGCGGGACTCGCGCCGGGGACGCGCGGGGCCTGGCGGCCAGACTCGGCCTCCGCGGCCCGGCTTCACGCTGGCGCCAGGGGCGCGGGGCCTGGACCTCAGGGGCGAGCCTGGGCAGGCGCGGGCACCCAGCCCAGTATCCAGGCCCGGAGCGGGCACCGTGCCCCGGGGCCCGGGCACGAGAAAGGGAGACTGGATGCGGCGCCCCGCGTGCTAGGCCCCGGGGACGGGCCTCTCCTGGGTGGCTCAGGGCGCAGCGGACCCAGCGCTTCCCGAGTTCCCGGGCGCCGCTCCATCAACGGCGTTTGCCTTTGTTTTGGGGCGTGGGGCGCTGCCCTACACCTTCCCTATTCCTCTTTACCCCACCTATTTCTTTCTGTCCCTCCCCCCAGCCTTTTTCCAAGTAAAACACTTTATTTGGAAAAATAAATACAAATTCAATGAAAAAATATTTGTTAAAAATGCAGTTTATTTGGAAACTGTTTGGAAAAATAAATACAATGTGTAAAAAAGAATTAGGGAAGTAAAGCTTCATTTGCCTTAACATATGGTGTCTACTCTTGGGAGGGGGCACTTTCTCGGGAAGGCTTGCTCCTGGGAGTTTCTTTGTATTGTTCCATCTGCTGGAATTTAGGGACCCTCCTCTTGCCTCTGGTTTTGTTTATATTTTACCTTCTTGGGGTTCAGCTCTTGACGTTCAGATGCACCTCTGATAATAGGGATAAGTTGAATAGGAAGAAAGGAAGTGGAGTCTCGGAACCCGGAGGAAGTTTAAGAAACAACTCATCTTCAGACTCTCCCTTCTGAATCTCTCCTTCAGGAGTGTAAGTGGGCAGGGTTTGGGACCTGATTTCAGCAAAATCTCCATAGTAAGTTTCTGTTAGTGCCATCGAGTCAGGTCTGACTCATAGTGACCCTGTGTAGGGTTTCCAAGGAGCGGCCAGTTTGAACTGCGAACCTTGTGGTCCAGTGCTTATCCTACAGCGCCACGCCAGGACTCCCAACAATCCATTTTTGTTGTTGTTAAGTGCCATTGAGTCGATTCTGACCCATAGCGACCCTGTATAGGGTTTCCAAGGAGTGACTGGTGAGCTTGAACCGCCGACCTGGCCATTCAGGTCATTCAGATGGCTTTGCAGTCTGGTGCATCAGCCCACCAACAATCCATAGGAAGTAGTAAATTTTAAATAGTGAATCTCTTAAAGGCAGTCTTGTAAGTAAGTACCAAAGAGACTGCCTTGTAAGTATCTCCCATACAACAATGAACAAACTCACTGCTGTCCCTCCTAGTGACCCTATAGGACAAGAGGGCTTCCAAGGCTGTAATGTTTGCTATGAGATGGCCTTTAACAACAACGTTTATGAAAGCAGACCAGCTCATCTTTGTCCTGCAGAATGTGACTGGTGAATTTGAACTGTGGACTTTCTATGAGTAGCTGAGCTCTTACCGCTCTGTACCATAGTCCACCGTTAGTTATTTGTGTGCATATTTTAAGCCTTTGACTGAGTCCTTGAGGAAGTCTTGGTGTGGCACTACAGAATAATGCTCTGGACTGCAGTGCTCCTTAGAAACCCTATACAGGGTCGCTATGGGTTGGAACTGACTTGAAGGCACTGAACAACAACCGAGTTCTTGAGGATGAGTCAAATCTCATGCATTTCAAACCAGGACTTCCATCTAACTAGTTCATACTGGTTCAACCCCCTGGTGATAATTTGCGTTTTCAACCTAGATTATACCAAATCAGAGTCTACAGTTTAACAAGATGCCCAGGTGGATTCAAATAGATCCTCTGGAAATTCTTATGAATACATAAGATCTTGTGGAAAGACTTAAAAAAAAAAAAAAAAAAAAGTTTAAAAAGGGACCATGTTAAAATGTAGACTAAGTCAGTATTTAAAAAGTAAGTTTAAAAGGAATCTTGTTAAAATGTAGATTCTGATTCAGTGTATCTGGGTCTTGGTTAAGTAGGTTTTGACGAGAGTTCCACCCAGATTTGGGGTGGAAAGGCAAACTCTCAACAGGGGTCAGACCAGGGTGAACCCAGTTTTAAAACAGTGATGAATGGACAGAAGGCTGGAGGTGTGTAGAGGGTGTGGTCACATCGAACCAATCCTGTTTTGGTTGTAAGGTTGGGGGTGCTTGCCAATGACGCACTTGAGTTGAATTTTAGCTCAAATTCTGATTACGTAAAAAACAAAAAAAAAACAAACCAACTTGTTGACCGAACTTTTCTTTTTCAAAAAAAGACCTGCTTTTGTGAATGGTTAATGTGAATATTTGACAAGTATAGTAAAACCTGAACTGCTAACCACAAGGTTGATGGTTCAAACTAAGCAGCTGCTCCTTCGAAACTATGCAGGGTCGCTCTGGGTCAGAACTGACTGGACAGCACTTCACAACAGCAGCATTGTTGTTAACGAAGTTTGTTGTTGTTAAGGGTCCTCTAGTCAGTTCCAACCCATAGTAACCCTGTATAGGGGTTTCTGAGGAGCCGCTGGTGAGTTTGAACCGCCGACCTTGTGGTTCACATCCACTTAGCAGTCCAGTGCGTTTTTGAAGACTGCTGATTAGTTTTCAGAGTTGTTGTTAAGTGCCGTCGAGTCGGTTCCAACCCATAGCACCCTGTATAGGGTTTTCGAGGAGCAGTTTGGTGAGCTTGAACCACCGACCTTGCTTTTAAGGAAATCATATTTAATATTGTAGGCATTAGTTTAGAAATTCTGTTATGAGGATGTTCCAATATAGAAAGACTAAGTTGGCTAGAGAGGACGAGAGTCATAGTCACCTGAAAAGGACAGTAACGCAATTCTGTGGATTACAAACATTGATCGACGTTTGCTTGTAGCATTTTGCTCTGTTGAGGAAAGGCAGCATCTGGTACATGTTGTCTCCTCATGAAGGCCATTACATCTCATGACGATTGGTTATTCCCTGATGACATCGAGACCTCTTGGTGTTAAGCTCTGCCTGGTCAGGTGAAAGTGATGTCATCATTTCTCGTGATGACCATACTCAATCCTTTAGGGGGTCCCAAACCCACTCAGAGTGACCCTGTAAAGGGTTTCCAAGGCTGTCTGTTCCCTGAAAGATTTACAGCCTCATATTTCTCCCTCAGAGCAGCCACTGGGTTTGAAATCCTGACCTTGTGTTTGTCAGTTTAGTGCTTATCTTCCAGTGCTACCAGGGCGCCTTAGTGCATCTATTTAGGAATGGCAAGCAAGGAATCTGACAAAGAATGCGTCCAAATGCTGAGACCTGGGCTAGGTTCTGGGGATGCAGAGGGACCTTTAAGACATAATTTTTGTCCTTGTAAGGAGCTCTGGTAGCATAGTGGTTGCGGATCGGCCTGTGAACCTTAAGTTCAGCAGTTTGAAATTACCAACTGCTCCGCAGGAGAGAGATGAGGCTTTTTGCTCCAGTAAAGATTTACAGCCTTGGAAACCCTGTACAGGGTCCCTATGAGTCAGAATTGACTCGACAGCACATAACAACAACAAGGAGCTTATAGTCCTGGGGGTGCAGGCCTGTAGTAAGCAAGTGAGTGTCCACTTAACAACAAACCACACTGCTCTTGGAAAGGAGTCCTGGTTGGGCTGGAGGATAAGCACTGGACTGCTAACCACAAGGTTGGCAGTTGAAACTCACTAGCTGTTCCGAGTGGGAGAGATGATGAGGCTGCTCCCATGGATAGGTACAGCCTTGGAAACCCTTTGGGAAAGTTCTACTCTGCCCTCCCGGGTCACTGTGAGTCACCATCCACTGGAGGGCAGTAGGATGGCTGGGTTTGGGTTTTTGAAACTCTTGAGCCTGTGGACATGCATTCCACTATCTTGTTTTTCAAGTCTTTCTGGAAATGGGAAAAAAATGCCATTGTATTGCTTCTAACTCATAGGACAGAGTCAGGCTGCGTACCCAATGTGGTTTCCAAGGCTGTAAATCTGTAAGGAAGCAGACTGCCATGGCTTTGTCCCTCAGAGCAGCTGGTGGGTTTGAACTGCTGACCTTTGAAGTACTTGACCACTGTGTCTTCAGGGCTCCTTGCTGTTTTTAAAGTCCCTCTTAATTCTGCTGTAATAATAACTTGGAAAAAAAATGTGTTAATAGAAGTCTGTACGCCACATGCAAGACCTGTTGTTAGGTGCTGTTGGGTCGGTTGCAACTCATAATGACCCTGTATAGGGTTTCCGAGGACCAGCTGGTGAGCTTGAACCGCCGACCTTGCAGTTCAAACAGCTTTGCAGTTTGACGCATTAACCTACAGCGCCACACCAGGACTCCTTAAAATAGTGGAAAAACTTTAGTCGTCAGTACTGACAGTGCTTTATCTTGTCAGTAGATTATAGTTATTATTTAATACAACTGCCAGAACTCAGCAATAAGTGGACTTGAATAAGTGGACTGAATAAGCGGAGCCAATAATTTCCTAGCACTGAATGAGAATGTGGACTTGACATGCAGTCATCTCAAAGATTTCTTTCACTTGCAACCTTGATTTAACCCTCACATTAACTTAAAAGATGCCATTTAGAGGACTTTTCGTATTTTTATTGATTTATTTTTCCCTCACTACCCAGTGAAGGTGAGTGAAATCACAGGGCTCTAGAGACCTGGCTAGGAAAATCATCGGAGAGGGTAATTTGTCTTGGAGGTTATGACTGCAGGCCCTGGAAACAGGTGAGCATTTGGATTTTATTCTCTTAATCACCTCTTTACTCTGTAGGAGGAATGGCTTCTGTCTGTGAACTGTCATTCAGTTTCTCTGAGTTTATTAAGTTCTTTCTTCTCTTTTAGCAGTGTTTCTTGACTATGTTTCTGTTCTTTGTCTAAACCTGACAACCCAGGCAGACACCCAGTGCCATTCTTAGAGCTTTTTTTTTTCTGATTGCCTGTCATTTGTGGTCATTGTAGAAAATGTCGAAAGTACAGAAAAAGAGAAACCTAGCCACAAGGAACCTCTCTGAACCTTGCCCTGTGCCTTTTCTGTGGATCACCCTAGTTTGCTTTCTGCATGGTTGATCATTTCAGCCTTCTCACTTGATTTTCTTCACTTAAATCTAAATCCTAAAACAGTTCTCCATGTCATGAAGAGCTTCAGTGATCCTAAATGACTGCACATTATGATGTCTATGGTTCTGTCAACCCCTCTAGTACTGAACTCCTGGTGTGTAGCTGTAGGATCAGCGCGGAACCACAAACCACAAGGCCGGTGGTTCAGACCTACCAGCTTCTCCCTGAAAACTCATACAGGGTCATTGTTTTTCAGAATTAACTCCATGGCACTTAACAACAACAATAACTA